AAAAAACTTTTTAGCCTAAATGAGAATTTAAAGGAACCAGAAAGAATTTCTAAGGCAAACCAATATACAAAGAATCAAATGAACCAATCAAGTTTAGCAACTCTAATAATGTAAGATATAAACTAACTATACTAAAACAATTCAACCCAAGGAAGTGTGAATATAATCAAGATGGAAAATATTCAGAAAAAATTTGAAAGAAAACCTAAGAACTCAAATTACTTGAAAAACTTCACAAGAAATTTGAAAACAAAGAAGTCTATAACTTCGAACAAGATGATAATGAATATACTTAATATTTGAAACTATGTGAAAAATACCAAGAACTATTTCACTTTGAAGAAAAACTTTCTGAAAGTGAAGAGGAAAGTGAAACTTCTCAAGAACAGTATTTCTAAACAGGAGCCTGCGTGATACTCAGGACTTACTTCTAATACAACCTAATGGCTATATCACAAAGTTTAATCAAATATGTAATAATGAAATATTTTATATAAATAAAAATATAAGTAAACCTTTGACCGAAATAAATGATTACTCTGCTACAAATACTTTATATTAGACTAGTAAACTAGTAAAAACAAAATTAGAACCAAAAGGAGTAAAAGAATTTTATTTTTATAGAAAAATTTGTAATATACCTGTAGAATTCAAACTTGATGAGGGATTAAATTATACAATAATGGGAAAGAATCACTTAGAGCTCTTAGAAAAAAATAACCAGTATTAACATTTTTAACCCAAGAAATCAACCACAGAAGCAGTAGGATCTAACAGTGTTATTATAATAGAAAAAGCAACTGTAAATATCACAATCGACAAACACTTCTTTAAAAATATTAAAATAGATATACTAGGATCAAATCTTAAATATATTTTATTGTCAAATAAAACTAAATGACAATTGGGGATATTAGTCAGACCTTCTGACGAGATTATTCTTTTACAGGATCTATCTATAACTAACCAAAAACAGCTAGACTATAAGCAAATGAATAACCAGCTCTACCTAGCTGAACTAAATGATAGAAAGCTACGTAGCAAGGTATGCCTACATACAGCCAATAATGACCAAATTCCAAGGAGTGAAGAGTTATCTGATAAATCTGAGTCTAAAGCAACTATTAACATGGAAGAGTTAGATTCTGATTCATCAAGTGATTCTTCTAGCTCAGAAGATTTGTCAAAAAACTCTGATCCAAGTGAATTAGAGGATTCAGACAAAAAAAAAGAGAAGGAGCCCAATGTTCAAAGAACAAACAAAGAAAATATACTCTCCATGAAAATTAAAAGAAAGGCTAAAATATCGTCAGTTACTAATAAAAGAACCTCTTGAAGATTTAAAAATCAAAATGCTTAACAGAAATAGAAAAATATATATTCATAACCCATATGAAGTACCTAATTATGATGCAGTAGACTTAAATAAGAAACAGTATAACTTATTTAAGAAACAATGTGAAATTAACCAAGATCAGAAATATCTAATAGAAATCACATGTAATGGCACTTGGCAGGGAATCCAAGAAGCTATCACCTGTACAGGAAGTAATATAGTGCAGACATTATGATATACTGAGAAACTAACTTGTATGCCAAAAATGAAATGATGAAAAATTGGGTAACCCTAAAAGAAGGGGTACTAAATATAGAAAATGACAGGCTTATACAAGCTAAGCTATCACTATTGCAAGTAAAACCGTGTATAATAATACACACATCTATGGGTTTAAGCATCGCAGATACTAAAATAAACAGATTATTTGATTAGAAAATCAAAAGAATTATTGAAGAAATACAGCGTGTACACACAATAGGAAGCAAAGTATATATATTGCATATAGGATCAAAATCCTATAGAGATTTAAAACTGGTACTAAAAAAAGAGCAAAAGAAACAAATTAAAGATAATTTGGAAGCTATACTGAGTCAAACCAAAAATACTGACGTCATGGTCTTATTAGAAAACTTAGCAGCTAACAAATGTCATGGAGTGCAAATAGAAGACCTCTTAAAAATTAAGAGAAGTATAGACAAGACTTTATTAACTAAAGTGGTAAAATATGAAAGCCCAAACCAACCGCTAAAAGAACACAAAATAGAATACATAAAGCTATACTTTAATATATAACACTATTTTGTAGCAGGAAGCAGAAGATATCCAGATAACTACAAGCAAGTCATGGATAAATATGAAGATGAAATACATCTCTTACACATTAACAATGTATCATAGATTCCCGAAAATAAGCTACCATTTTTTGGATGATTTTAAGCTCAAAAAATCAGAGATAGCTTATTTTTGGGTAAAAGCAGATTTTGCTCGATTACAAAAAATTTACTAAGTATATCGATATGGCTTATTAAGTGAAAGTTATTCAGAAGATCAAAATACATATATTTTGAAAATTTTACGTAAATTGAACAACTTTTTATTAATAGACTTTTGATTTTTATGTTCAATGAATATGAATTTTAAAGAAATTTTAAAAAATTCATCGAACGTAACATGCAAAAACCTATTAATAAAAAGTCATCCAATTTGGATAAAACTTTCAGGCTATATGTATTTTCATCTCCTAAATAACTTTTACTTAATAAGCTATGTCAATTTACTTAGTAAAATTTCGACTTTACTATAGAGTAACTACTAACGATCGTATAAGTAGCTTATTTTTGGGCAATAGAAGTTTTTACGTTTTTCTTTCAAAAAAGAAAGGTAGCTTATTTTCGGAGTAGCTTATTTTCAGGAATATACGGTAATAAAAGAAAGAAAAATAAAACAAAAAGACAGATCCGTGAAGAAGATAAAGGCAACAATATTTAGGTCTGAACAGGATGTCCATATACCGTTATTACAGAAACAATTATCACAGAAAATATTTAAAATACTAGCAACACATCCTAAAATAAAAGCAATGATATTAGAAACACTAGGAAGAACTGAGAAACAAAAGCAAGAGCAAATACGTGAAGTATACAGGTTAAAACAATATGTCAAGCCTGATGATACACTTCAGACTGATGATTTATTATTTAAAATAGAGTTTCAAAAATAGAGGAACTAGGAAAAGAAGAAGTTCCGCAAATGTGAAATAAATATGAAGCACCAGAAATAGTAAGTTTAACTGACCAAGTTCAATGCTTATATCTCGAGGAACAAGAAAGATATCAAGATCCTCGAAAACAAGAAGCAATAGAAAGAATGAGAAGAAAACAAATAGAACAAATATTATTTAAAACTAATGAAATATTGCTCAAGTATTAGAAATCACCTTTTGCAGCTTCAAGCAAAAATTTTCCACCAATACCAAAAATATTTAGAGGATATGTAAGTCAATTTAGCTCTAACATCAAGAAGTTAGAAAAGTTGCAAGAACAAACGGAAGATGAGAATATAGCTAAAACACTAACAGACCTCATAGATCATATAGCAACTATGGATTCTAACTTCCAGAAGTTTAAAGGAATGAGTGACTAAGAAGCAAAAATGCATCTTGACAACATGAGAGATATAGAAACATTACTACAAGAGTTAAAAGAAAAGAAACCACATAAAACATACCAAGAAAAATTATTCAAAATAACTCAGTAGTATGACAAACAAAATGAAGAAACTCGAAGTATATATATACAAGACCTGGATGAAAGAGAATATGACATATCGAGAACTTAGAAGATGTTTCCAATACAAGACCTGAACAATATATTAATTTAACAGAGGCTCAAAGAAGAGCAACACAAGCCAAATTAACAGCAATAGATAATACTTCTTTAAACGAAGAAGAAAGAAAAAGAGCTAATAAAAGATAGCAGAAGAATACTGATCTATGAGGTCTGTTAGTGTTTTAGCTATATTCTCATCTTCCGTTTGTTCTTGCAACTTTTCTAACTTCTTGATGTTAGAGCTAAATTGACTTACATATCCTCTAAATATTTTTGGTATTGGTGGAAAATTTTTGCTTGAAGCTGCAAAAGGTGATTTCTAATACTTGAGCAATATTTCATTAGTTTTAAATAATATTTGTTCTATTTGTTTTCTTCTCATTCTTTCTATTGCTTCTTGTTTTCGAGGATCTTGATATCTTTCTTGTTCCTCGAGATATAAGCATTGAACTTGGTCAGTTAAACTTACTATTTCTGGTGCTTCATATTTATTTCACATTTGCGGAACTTCTTCTTTTCCTAGTTCCTCTATTTTTGAAACTCTATTTTAAATAATAAATCATCAGTCTGAAGTGTATCATCAGGCTTGACATATTGTTTTAACCTGTATACTTCACGTATTTGCTCTTGCTTTTGTTTCTCAGTTCTTCCTAGTGTTTCTAATATCATTGCTTTTATTTTAGGATGTGTTGCTAGTATTTTAAATATTTTCTGTGATAATTGTTTCTGTAATAACGGTATATGGACATCCTGTTCAGACCTAAATATTGTTGCCTTTATCTTCTTCACGGATCTGTCTTTTTGTTTTATTTTTCTTTCTTTTATTACCGTATATTCCTGAAAATAAGCTACTCCGAAAATAAGCTACCTTTCTTTTTTGAAAGAAAAACGTAAAAACTTCTATTGCCCAAAAATAAGCTACTTATACGATCGTTAGTAGTTACTCTATAGTAAAGTCGAAATTTTACTAAGTAAATTGACATAGCTTATTAAGTAAAAGTTATTTAGGAGATGAAAATACATATAGCCTGAAAGTTTTATCCAAATTGGATGACTTTTTATTAATAGGTTTTTGCATGTTACGTTCGATGAATTTTTTAAAATTTCTTTAAAATTCATATTCATTGAACATAAAAATCAAAAGTCTATTAATAAAAAGTTGTTCAATTTACGTAAAATTTTCAAAATATATGTATTTTGATCTTCTGAATAACTTTCACTTAATAAGCCATATCGATATACTTAGTAAATTTTTTGTAATCGAGCAAAATCTGCTTTTACCCAAAAATAAGCTATCTCTGATTTTTTGAGCTTAAAATCATCCAAAAAATGGTAGCTTATTTTCGGGAATCTATGATACATTGTTAATGTGTAAGAGATGTATTTCATCTTCATATTTATCCATGACTTGCTTGTAGTTATCTGGATATCTTCTGCTTCCTGCTACAAAATAGTGTTATATATTAAAGTATAGCTTTATGTATTCTATTTTGTGTTCTTTTAGCGGTTGGTTTGGGCTTTCATATTTTACCACTTTAGTTAATAAAGTCTTGTCTATACTTCTCTTAATTTTTAAGAGGTCTTCTATTTGCACTCCATGACATTTGTTAGCTGCTAAGTTTTCTAATAAGACCATGACGTCAGTATTTTTGGTTTGACTCAGTATAGCTTCCAAATTATCTTTAATTTGTTTCTTTTGCTCTTTTTTTAGTACCAGTTTTAAATCTCTATAGGATTTTGATCCTATATGCAATATATATACTTTGCTTCCTATTGTGTGTACACGCTGTATTTCTTCAATAATTCTTTTGATTTTCTAATCAAATAATCTGTTTATTTTAGTATCTGCGATGCTTAAACCCATAGATGTGTGTATTATTATACACGGTTTTACTTGCAATAGTGATAGCTTAGCTTGTATAAGCCTGTCATTTTCTATATTTAGTACCCCTTCTTTTAGGGTTACCCAATTTTTCATCATTTCATTTTTGGCATACAAGTTAGTTTCTCAGTATATCATAATGTCTGCACTATATTACTTCCTGTACAGGTGATAGCTTCTTGGATTCCCTGCCAAGTGCCATTACATGTGATTTCTATTAGATATTTCTGATCTTGGTTAATTTCACATTGTTTCTTAAATAAGTTATACTGTTTCTTATTTAAGTCTACTGCATCATAATTAGGTACTTCATATGGGTTATGAATATATATTTTTCTATTTCTGTTAAGCATTTTGATTTTTAAATCTTCAAGAGGTTCTTTTATTAGTAACTGACGATATTTTAGCCTTTCTTTTAATTTTCATGGAGAGTATATTTTCTTTGTTTGTTCTTTGAACATTGGGCTCCTTCTCTTTTTTTTTGTCTGAATCCTCTAATTCACTTGGATCAGAGTTTTTTGACAAATCTTCTGAGCTAGAAGAATCACTTGATGAATCAGAATCTAACTCTTCCATGTTAATAGTTGCTTTAGACTCAGATTTATCAGATAACTCTTCACTCCTTGGAATTTGGTCATTATTGGCTGTATGTAGGCATACCTTGCTACGTAGCTTTCTATCATTTAGTTCAGCTAGGTAGAGCTGGTTATTCATTTGCTTATAGTCTAGCTGTTTTTGGTTAGTTATAGATAGATCCTGTAAAAGAATAATCTCGTCAGAAGGTCTGACTAATATCCCCAATTGTCATTTAGTTTTATTTGACAATAAAATATATTTAAGATTTGATCCTAGTATATCTATTTTAATATTTTTAAAGAAGTGTTTGTCGATTGTGATATTTACAGTTGCTTTTTCTATTATAATAACACTGTTAGATCCTACTGCTTCTGTGGTTGATTTCTTGGGTTAAAAATGTTAATACTGGTTATTTTTTTCTAAGAGCTCTAAGTGATTCTTTCCCATTATTGTATAATTTAATCCCTCATCAAGTTTGAATTCTACAGGTATATTACAAATTTTTCTATAAAAATAAAATTCTTTTACTCCTTTTGGTTCTAATTTTGTTTTTACTAGTTTACTAGTCTAATATAAAGTATTTGTAGCAGAGTAATCATTTATTTCGGTCAAAGGTTTACTTATATTTTTATTTATATAAAATATTTCATTATTACATATTTGATTAAACTTTGTGATATAGCCATTAGGTTGTATTAGAAGTAAGTCCTGAGTATCACGCAGGCTCCTGTTTAGAAATACTGTTCTTGAGAAGTTTCACTTTCCTCTTCACTTTCAGAAAGTTTTTCTTCAAAGTGAAATAGTTCTTGGTATTTTTCACATAGTTTCAAATATTAAGTATATTCATTATCATCTTGTTCGAAGTTATAGACTTCTTTGTTTTCAAATTTCTTGTGAAGTTTTTCAAGTAATTTGAGTTCTTAGGTTTTCTTTCAAATTTTTTCTGAATATTTTCCATCTTGATTATATTCACACTTCCTTGGGTTGAATTGTTTTAGTATAGTTAGTTTATATCTTACATTATTAGAGTTGCTAAACTTGATTGGTTCATTTGATTCTTTGTATATTGGTTTGCCTTAGAAATTCTTTCTGGTTCCTTTAAATTCTCATTTAGGCTAAAAAGTTTTTT